TCTTGTTTTGTTGCTGTACCAGCTTTGTGGATCAGCCAACATCCTTGACTTGCCCTGTGGGGAGTAAGGTGGGACACATCTTGGATTGCTCTATTCCAGGGGTGTCCAACCTTTTGGCTTCCCTGGGCCACATTAGAAGAAAAATTGTCTTGGGCTACACATAAAATACACTATCACGGCTGGGTGCAGTGGCTCACGCCTGTAACCCCAGCACTTTGGGAGGCCGAGGCAGGCAGATCACGAGGTCAGGAGATCAAGACCATCCTGGCTAACACGGTGAAACCTCATCCCTACTAAAAAATACAAAAAATTAGCCAGGCATGGTGGTGGGCGCCTGTAGTCCCAGCTGCTCGGGAGACTGAGTCAAGAGAATGGCAAGAACCCATGAGGCGGAGCTTACAGTGAGCCAAGATGGAGCCACTGCACTCCAGCCTGGGTGACAGAGCGAGACTCCATCTCAAACAAAACAAACAAAAAAACACTATTACTAAAATAGGTGATGGGCTAAAAAAAAAATAAAACAAATCGCAAAAAAATCTCATAATGTTTTAAGAAAATTAATGAAGTTCCACTGGGCCACATTCAAAGCTGTCCTGGGCTACATGTGCCCTGAGGGCCGTAGGTGGAACAAACTTGCTCTATTCCCTTTGTAGTAGATGCCATCTAAGTGTGGGTCTCCTTTGCTTGGGTCATTCAGGTGTTCAGGACTTTTTATGCTCCTTTTGGAAGGTCCTCAAATGTCTCCATAAAGACATTTGGTGCACTTAAAGCTATGTTAGTGGAAGGATGAGATCACCTCCCAAAGGATGTGGGCCCTACCTTCTCAGAACCAGAAAAGGGAAGGCCATAACTGGAGCAGTAACCTACTGCAGCTGAGTCTCAGTTTCCTCATCTGTGAAGTGTGAGAGTCAAGCAAAATTGCCTCCAAGATCCTTTTCTGCTCAAATATTCATTGAGCCAAAGAAGGTTAAGAACACATATAAATTGAGAGTTCTATAATTTTAAGATTCATCTGGAAAAATGACACTGCAACCTCTGCCTCCTGGGGTGAAGTGACTCTCATGCTTCACCCTCCCCAGTAGCTGGATTTCAGGCACACGCCACCATGCCTGGCTACTTTTTTGTATTTTTAGTAGAGATGGGTTTTCACCATGTTGGCCAGGCTGGTATCAAACTCCTGACCTCAAGTGATCCATCCTTCTCGGCCTCCCAGAGTGCTAGGATTATAGGTATGAGACACGGCACTTGGCTGGGATTGTCTCTTTAAAATGGAAATGCTACTATCTACAGAGCAGCATTGTTGTAAGGATTTAGTACATGTTCATAGTACATTTGAGGTGCTACAAGCCTAGCTGGCCCATAGCAGTCATTCTGAAAATGGCAAAAGTTACTAGGATGACAGTAATCTTATGATTACTTGTGACCACATGGTTTTTGGACTAGCTAAGGGTTTGAAATAGATTCGATCTAAGGAAGATGACATATGCACAATTCTTTGAAGTAAAAGAAGGGCTAAGAAGGTAGAGCAGCTACTGAAATAAATGATGCAAAGGATGTGATTTTAAAAATTCCAATGAGGGTCTGGGCATGGTGGCTCATGCTATAATCCTAGCACTTTGGGAGACCGAGGTGGGCAGATCACCTGAGGTCAGGAGTTTGAGATCAGCCTGGCCAATATGGTGAAACCCCGTCTTTACAAAAATACAAAAATTAGCCAGGCATGATGACGGTTCCTGTAATCCCAGCTACTCAGGAGGCTGAGGCAGGAGAATTGCTTGAACCTGGGAGGCAGAGGTTGCAGTGAGCTGAGATTGCACCATTGCACTCCAACCTGTGTGACAGGGTGAGACTCCATCTGAAAAAAAAAAAAAAAAAATTCACATGAGGGGCTCTGATGGATGAGATAATTTGTTCATTTATTACCCATGTATACACTTGTAACAGTGTCAATATTTTGATGAGAAAATCTCATTATCAGTTTTGTGCCTTGTACATGATTTATCTCCTGGACACAGTCATTCTTTGTATTCAATGATGGTGACAGGCCAGGCATGGTGGCTCATGCCTGTAATCGCAGCACTTTAGGAGGCTGAGATGGGGAGACCACTAGAGCCCAGGAGTTGCAGACCAATTTGGGCATCATAGCGAGACCCCTGTCTCAAACAAAATTAGCTGGATGTGCATGTACCTGTGTCTTCTCAGCTACTCAGGAGGCAGAGGCAAGAGGATCACTTGAGCCCAGAAGTTTGAGGCTGCAATGAACTGTGATTGTGCCAGTGTACTCCAGCCTGGGTGACAGATTGAGACTCTGGTTTTTTTTTTTTTTTTTTTTTTTTTTAAAGATGGTATATTGATGACATATTGTCTCAGTCCATTTTGCATTGCTACTCAATATCTATCTGTATCTATATCTATATCTAGAGAGAGGTTTATTTGGCTCATGGTTCTGTAGGCTGTATCAGAAGCATGGCACCTGTATCTGTTCTGATGAGGGCTTTAGGAAGCTTCCACTCATGGAAGAAGGTGAAAAGGAGCTGGAGTGCACAGATCACATGGCAAGAGGAGGGGCAAGAGAGAGAGGGAACTAATAGAAGAAGAAGTCACTCATTACCAAGAGAAAGGCACCTAGCCAAGCTTCATGTTTGGGCCCCAGGACCCAAACACCTCCCACCAGGCCCCACCTCCAAACACTGGGGATCAGATTTCAACATGAGATTTGAAAGGAACAAATGTCCCATATCACGTGTGGTTACTTTTGTTATCCATATAGAGATGAATGTATCTGAAAAGACCAACCCAGGATAAGCAGTTCTTTTTTCCAATACTCAAATATGAAGATTGGCTTTATTTTGCAGCTACTGTCAATGTTTATTACACCTGTCAGGTTTATTGTTTCTGCAAACATCTTTTTTTTTTTGAGATGGAGTCTCGCTCTGTCATCAGGCTGGAGTGCAGTGGCACAATCTCGGCTCACTGCAACCTCCGCCTCCCGGGTTCAAGCGATTCTCCTTCCTCAGCCTCCCCAGTAGCTGGGACTACAGGCACCTGCCACCAGTTTAGTTTAGATCTTCTTTACCTGGGCTCTCTCTTAGGAGATGTTTCATGTCCTTGAAATTCTTTGCAGAATTGCTTGTGTATGAGCATATTTGTATTTTGGGGGAATGCTGGCCAGAGAAAAGGGATCAGACTCAAAACAACAACAACAAGAACAACAAAACACAAAAAAGCCAAGAATTGCCACTGAGGGTGTCTCAGACTAGGGAAGAATAAAAATGATGTCACAAGATGGAAAGATGGCATAACACAGGCACAGAGAGGTCCCTAAGTACCCATCTACTTCTGCAGCTTTCATACAACTTCCACATATTCTGCTCCCTCTAACACACAATGTAATGGTTGAGTCTCTGGCAAGTTTTTACGGTTTCAGATCAGCTCTTTATGACATAACCCAGGGTCTGGTTGAGTGGTCTGGAGGATCACTGGTGAATGGATGGATGTGGAGACTTTGTGCGTTTCCCTTTGTCCCTATAAAGGGCACCTTTGCTGTTTTACAGGAAGCCTAAAGTATCAGAGAATAAAGTTTCCAGGGAAATAAATGAAAATTGATTGGCTGGGCGCAGCGGCTCATGTCTGTAATCCCAGCACTTTGGGAGGCCAAGACGGGTGGATCACAAGGTCAAGAGATCGAGACCATCCTGGCCAACATGGTGAAACCCTATCTCTGCTAAAAAATACAAAAATTAGCTGGGTATGGTGGCGGGTGCCCGTAGTCCCAGCTACTGGGGAGGCTGAGGAAGGAGAATCACTTGAACCTGGGAGGCAGAGGTTGCAGTGAGCCGAGATTGTGCCACTGCATTCCATCCTGGAGACAGAGCGAGACTCCATCTCAAAAGAAAAGAAAGAAAAAAGAAAAGAAAATTGATTTTGACACCAACAACCTAAAAGTGTAAAGTAAAAGTGGCAGGATGAGATTTTTAAAAAAAGAAGAAAAAGTGCTTGATTTCCAGGTTTCATTTGCAAAGAGAATAAGTCCTTTGTGTCTGGCTTTGAAGGCCAGCAGGGGCCCCAGGGCCACACCCTAAGGTGGTTTTGGCTCTATTCACTCTCTTCCTGCTCCTTTCTCCTCCTCTCTCTCTCTCTCTCTCTCTTTCTCTCTCTCTCTCTCTCTCTCACACACACACACACTCGTCTTTAAAAGGCACAACCAGGGCTGGGTGTGGTAGCTCACGCCTGTAATCTCAGCACTTTGGGAGGCCAAGACAGGTGGATCACTTGAGGTCAAGAGTTTGAGACCAGCCTGGTCAGCATAGTGAAACCCCATCTCCACTAAAAATTCAAAAATTAGCTGAGTGTGGTGGCATGCGCCTGAAGTCCCTGCTACTTGGGAAGCTGAGGCAGGAGAATCGCTTGAACCCGAAAGTGGAGGTTGCAGTGAGCTGAGATTGCGCCACTGCACTCCAACCTGGGTGACAGAGTGAGACGCTGTCTCAAATAAAAATAATAATAAAAGGCACAACCTTTATTATATCCCTAGTGTCAGGATGTGGAACATCTTAAGGAGATGTTGACTGCCATAAATCTAGACTGGGAAAGAAAGTGGATTTTAGATGAACCTGATTTGAAATACAAAACTTCTCTTTTAAAAAGGGAAAAAGATAAATAAATAGAATTTGCTAAGCCTCTGTTGAGTCCAAAGTTCCTATTAATCTATGAGGGAGTCAAAAACACAAAGTTCATTCATTCAAAAAATTACTCTGTAATGCATGCTGGACATAGAGGTCTGGAAATTTACCTTCTGGTCTGGGAGACAGACCTCACATACATGAAAAACTAAGGGATAATTCGGTATAATCAGAGAAGGGGAAGTCAGAAGAATACATCAGATCATCAACAGACAAGTATCCAATGTCCACCAAAATACGTTTTATAAACCCACATAATAACATTATTTTTAATGTGCGTGTGTGTGTGTGTGTGTGTGTGTGTGTTTCCTTTTAAAGCTCTGGAAGAAAACACATTGAATTGATGATCATGGTTAACCTTTGGAGAGAGAGAGGAGACCAGGATGAAGGAGCCAGTCCAAGGTATCCTTAGTTTGACGTGTTTTGCGTTGGTTTTGTATTTGGTGTTTTACGCCGGTGACTGGGAGTCTGGAGGCCGTTTTCTTCTGCAGAAAGCAGTTGAGGATTTTGTAAATATCCTGCCTTCTAATAGACCACATGACTTCCTGGTAGTCGGAGGTCCAGAGAGCTGGGTCTTTCCATTTTTTGAGTTTCCAGCATAGTAAAAAATGAAGAAAGCCAAAAGAATGTTACAGCCAGCACAAGCACCGTAGATTTTTAATGTTTATATTTAGCTGTTAAAGTTGTGTGATGAATCCTTCCCGTTGACTCTTGTTGGCATGTCTCTATGAGACCATCCAAAGACTACATTTTAAACCTTGAGCCAATGGCCCGCCCGCTCCCTCCTCCAAGTGACCCTGTTGCTGGCCCCAAGGAATCAGAAAAAGGCCTTGTATAAAACAGGCTGGCTGACTGGTGATGGGAGGGTGGTGGAGGCATGTTCTAGTGCCTTCAGCTCTTTCCCCAGGGTGTAAATTCTCTCCTAGGCAGTTGGATCTAGAGTTTCTCTCCTGCAAAATGGGTTTATTTCAGAACTATCTGCTGTTCTACAACAATGAATGGAAAAAATTTTACCTTCCTAACCATCCTTCCCGGCCTCCATTGAGGGCATTTAAGGTCAAACAGGCTTTTAATACACACGCTGTGCCCGCTCCACCCAACTCTCCCTCCCACCATGCCTAAGGGGAGAATTTGGGCCAAATGTATCACTGCAGTTTAACAGACCTGTAAAATGTCCAACCATTTTCTTTTTGAAGTAGGAAATGTTCATCCTGAGAAAAAGTTGCAAAGAGACATAAATATTAAAAATATGCATCTATTTTACCTTATAGAAAGGAAATGGATTTTGTTTTAAAGTCTTTACGTCTGTACTCGGTGACATTTTTGCATAAATATCTAGAGAATTAATAGCTTCAGCCAATTATGAACACACTTTTGAGATGTTTTAAAGGAGTCTGTCCCTCCAGTCTACCTCTTTTTAATATTGTATTAAGAGTTTTATATAATCTAAAGTGTTCTCATTATGAAAGCACTAACTTGTCATTTGAAAGAATAGATTCATCTCAACAAATACACTCCAAAGTGAACCAAATGCTAATGCACATTTTATTGGATGAAAAGACAAACAACATAATTATACTTGAATTTCAGGGAATCAAAAGTAGTACAACAACAGCGTGTGCACCAGACTCCAGGGCAGGGTTCGTAAGTTAGCTATACGCATGCTCATTTTTCCAAGCTGGGGAAGTTTGCTAAAATGAGCTGAGGGCTACTTCACCAGACTGACAAAAAGGAAAATGTCTATCAGTTTTTCTTTTGTTCTCTCTAGATCCTGCTCAAGTGTACACTGAGCCAGCAGGTTCACCAGAAAGCTATTGAGCATTTGCTGGAACACATTATGCAGGGTGAATTTCTTCTGGAATGTTGCCAAGGATTTTTTATGCTTCTGTGGCAGGCATTTCTTGAACATTGTCATTTAGCCAAGCAAAGAAGATTTGCTTAAAGGATAGAAAATGTTTAAAAATTTTTGTTTGTTTAAAAATAGGTTAAATGGCAATATGATCTCAGGATAAGACAGAGAAAAGCACTTATTCCTCTAAGTGATCTGATTTGGTTAGTGATCTTTTGCGTTTAAACAGATTCATCGTTATTCCTAAAGTATTGCTATATTAATACTGTCTTCTAGAAAGTATCCCCCAGTGCCTACTTTTCTTTGATATCATTAGCTGTTTTTCGAAACTGAATTTGCTTTTCAGAGATTTCTCATATGTTTGCCTATAAGGAACTACTGGTAATAGCCAAGAAAATTTGGAGGTGCAGAGCACATGCTGAAATAGAATTTTTCACTTTCAATTCTAGAACTATGCCATAAAAAATAAAAACAGAAAATGTAAAAATGTCTTTATATTAGAGCAGATATTTTAAAAGTATTGCAAGTTCAATGATAAATTCTAAGGTTAAACTTGGACACATAAAAAACACAATATATAAATATCTCCCCAGAAATCATTATCTAATGAATAGTAAAAGCTGACTACAAACCATATCATTTTTAACAAGGGTTTAACTATTACCAAGATTCTCATCATATGCTCTGGGATACCCAGTGATATACAAGGGTTCTCTCTAAACATGGGGAGGAAAAATTCCAAATGTTAGGATATGAATCTTGTCTTTGCCATTCACTAGCTGTGTGATCTTGGGTAAGTTACCTGGCTTCTCTGAGCTTCAGTGTCATCTGTAAAGCAGGAATAATAATACCTGGCTTAGAGGCAGGCACGGCGGCTCATGCCTGTAGTCCCAGTATTTTGGGAGGCCAAGGCGGGTGGATCACTAGGTCAGGAGTTCGAGACCAGCCTGGCCAAGATGGTGAAACCCTGTCTCTACTAAAAAAAAAAAAAAATTGCCGGGCATGATGGCAGGTGCCTGTAATCCCAGCTACTCAGGAGGCTGAGGCAGGAAAATCGCTTGAACCCGGGAGGTGGAGGTTGCAGTGAGCCGAGATCTCACCACTGCACTCCAGCCTGGGCGACAGAGTGAGACTCCGCCTCAAAAAAATAAATAAAATTAATAAATAAAAAATAATACCTAGCTCATGGGGCTGCTGTGGGTGGTTGTGAAGTATCTCAGTGGTACCTACATGTTGTAAAGGCTTATGACTATGTTAGCTCCTTTCTCAACTTCCTCAATTCATTCCACCACTACAAGTCAATCTAGAGATTAAAATAGGCAAAACCGTGATCTTCGTTAGGATGGGGTTGAGTGGTGGTTTGTTTCTGACTGCTTCGTTTTATACTTGTATTTTAAATATACAAGTTTTTGTAAACATTCTTAAAACAGATCTGTTTTTATTTTGATGAAGATTGGACTGATTCTGATATAATGTTTGGAGAACTAAATTGTATGCAGAATTTTGTCTCTGAAGAGTTAACTCTATCATGAAAATGCACTCGGTGAAAAGTAAACTTGATGCCACCTTTCCATACACGGTATTATGCGCATTTGAATGGATGCCTATGGAAAAACATGGCAATTCTTCTTTTATGCCCCTAAATCCTATGGAATTTGCCGCCTCCTGTATTCAAGTTCGGGCTGTGATGGTAAACTTGGTTCCCTTCAGCTGAGTGTTGTTAAGTTCTTGGCACGTTCCCACAGCTGGACCTCCCGTCTGTAACCTGCACCTGCAGTTCACAGGATTCAGCTCGGAGAGCTCTGTACTTCCAGGCCACTCAGGTAGTTGTTCGTGCAGACTGTAAGTTTCCACCCCACAGTTTCTCTGCCAGTTTAGATGCTGCAAACGTTTGGGTTTTGCAGTTTCTGCAATTTTTGTTTGGGTTCTTTAAAAACAGCTCTTCCCCCACCCCTGGCACACCACCATCTCTCCAAGGCACTCATTGTGAGATGGGAAGCCTTGGCGCCTGTCGTTTGTATTCCAGATAGAAACTAGCAGAATTGAGATTTTCCTCCCTTTTTAGTGCCATGACAAACAAAAGAGGATATGACATGTATTTATTGTTTGGTGAAATGCAAAAGTATCAATTCCAGGAGATGTTGCATTTCCCTCATCTTTGCCTTGAGTTGTTTATGTAAACTATGACCCTGTTTGTAAGAGACAGGGAGAAAGTATGAATTCGGTGGGAATGACAGGGTTTAGGGGGGCGGGGTGGGGAGGAGGAGGTGGTGTGGGAAAACAACTCTCTCTTTTGCCATAAGGCATCCAATTCCTGGAAAGAGCGCGGTTAATGGCAAATAAAATTTCCTGGTCTTTGGGGCCAAGATTTGTGTTGTGTGAGTGTGCTTTATAAGCCTGTCACTGTTACATGCAGGCTTATGCTTTTATGGCTGTCTTTAGCCTTAGCTTTTGTGGTTCTTCCGCCTGTACAGTATGCTCTTCCAAAGCAACTGTGGCTCATTGAGAGACCAGGCTAAAGCAAAAGAGCAGATAAACAAATTCATAAGAGTTATTTATTTATTTATTTTTTGAGATGGGGCCTTGTTCTGTCACGGAGGCGGGAGTAGAGTGGCACGAGCACGGCTCACTGCAGCCTTGACCTTTGGGCTCAAGCAATCCTTACACCTCAGGACCCCACACTCAGCCCCCCGAGTAGTTGGGACTACAGGTGCGTATCACCACCCCTGGCTAAGTTTTAAAATGTTTTGTAGAATCAGCATCTCCCAATGTTGCCCAGGCTGGTCTCAAACTCCTGAGCTCAAGTGATCCTCTGGCCTTAGCTTCCCAAAGTGCTGGGATTACAGGCATGAGCCCTGCACCCAGCCACAATTTAATTTCTTTAAAAAACCATTTCAAAAGAGAATGTCAGAAAAACATGTGGCCAAAACAGCACCCGCCCTTAAACAGATTCTTGATTGAGGGGTGGAGCTGGAGGCAGATGTAATATGTCAATAGGGGTTCTTAAATATTCTAAAATAATTATTGGAAAGATAGTACTGAGGATGGATGGGTCAGTCTGATGCTTCTTGATCACAGTGAGGCTTGAGTTAAGGTCTAGGGAGTTTTCAGCACGGGCATCAGAATTTCTTTTGGGTCCCTGTTCTCCTTTGCAATGGTTTGAGACATGTCTTCTTCGTGATGCTTGTGAGAGAGTAAAGGAGGACTCTCCTTTACAAATGCAGATAGCCCAGAGTGGAAAGGGCTGTAGAAGAGGTGTGTACCTGCCACACTCAGAGCAGCCAATCCAGAAAGGCTTCATTGAGGAGGTGCTTTGCAAATAATCAGATAAACAGGAAGCGAGGAGGAAGTGGTGGTGACGGGATCCTGTGGAACTAGTTTGGGCAAAGGAAAAAAGCGTATGAAAACTAATAATAATAAGAGTGCCTAGCACTTGTTGAGAGTTTATTACAGGCAGCTGCTTTGCTAACTATTTTACATAGATTATCTCATTTAATTCTCACAACCACAAAAAAACTTTGGGTCCAATTTCATCCCCATTTTAATCCAGAGAAAATCAAGGTAGAGCAAGGCTATGCAACTTACCCTCAGTTGCACAGCTAGTAAGTGGTAGAACCAAGATTTGAATCTCAGAGTCCAGTCTCTTACCCTGTTTTTGCAGAAAGGATCTGCTCTGTTTGGGCCCTATTAAGGAGCTTGGTAAACTTAGAGCCTAGCCTGCTTCCTAGGTGGGAGATGGTTGGATTTTCACCCGGGAAGTGATATATTTCCTAATCACAAGCCTGATCAGAATTTTGCAACTGGGGTTTTTGGAGTGGGGGGCCAATGAGGGATGGGAGGGTGTGAGACTTTAGTGATTTAAAAAATTCTTTTACTTATCTCTGTATGGGAGTAAAATTTTTCCAAAAATTTTCTTAATTTTTCTTCTAGGCATATGTGTATGTGTGAAAGGTAACTCGTAGGTGGCCTGGGAAATTAGTTGTGTGTGTGGGAGGGCATGCTTGGGGGCGGGTGGGCACAGTTAGAAGTTAGAAGGCAAGAGATATCGATGATGTTGGTGATGACAGCGAATATTTAAGCACTTACGTACAGTGGAACTTATGTGCTACTCTGTTCTTATTTAATCCTCTCAATGGCCTGAAAGATAATCATACTCTCAACTTTCAAATTAAGAGACTAAGGTTCTCAGAGGTGAAATAGCTTGTCCAAGGTCACACTGCTGGTAAGAGGCAGAGCCAGGATATGGGTCTGTAGGATTTCAGAATCTTTTTTTTTTTTTTTTTTGAAATGGAGTCTTGCTCTGTTGCCCAGGCTGGAGTACAGTGGCACGATCTTGGCTTGCTGCAACCTCTACCTCCTGGGTTCAAGCGATTCTCCTGCCTTAGCCTCCCAAGCACCTAGGGTTACCAGTGTGAGCCACCACACCTGGCCAATTTTTGTATTTTAGTAAAGATAGAGTTTCACCATGTTGGCCAGGCTGGTCTCAAACTCCTGACCTTAACTGATCCACCCGCCTCAGACTCCCTACATAGCTGGAATTACAGGCGTGAGCCACCGGGCCTGGCCTGATTTCAGAATCAACCCTTAAACTCTGACAGCATGAGCTAGTGAGGGAGGCAAGCATACCCAGAGAGGTCTTAAGATGCCTGAGGTGCCAGGAGAGCATGGAGATGTCTGGGGAAAAGTATTATAAATATATACATTTGGAAACTTGGAAATTGACATACGATAATGGACTTTAGGAAATGAATGTGTAGAGGAAGAAGTCAGGTGATGCTGGTGTCCTAGGACCACTCCACAGAAGGAGAGAACACTGAGAATAAAAGACCTTTGAAAATCGTGATGGACATGAAGACCCCAGCCTGGGCCCCACCACTTATTCACTCTCACCTGGCATCTCAATCTCTGCATCTGTAAAAATGAAGAAAATAATCCACCTCCCTGGATGACTTCATTTTTGTACTCGTCCATGAGGTACTGTACATAGACGTGCCGTAAGGACTAAAAGTTCTTCACAATAGGATGTGTAGGAAAGCAAGTAGGGAGTAGTGGAGGAGGCTGAACCCAGCACATGGGCTGAGGATGCTGGGAGGGAACAGGATTGGGGGCTGAATTCTAACAGGGGGAAGCTACTGAGCTGCTCCTGTAGGTTGGGCCTGGATGGAAACCCTGGAAGCAATAACTCCAAGATTCAAAATGTGGGACAAGAAGAGCAAGAACCAGGAACAGAACAACTCCAAGGAACATGAGTGAAGAGGTTGGTGCTGCAGAGGAGCCCTGGCCGGGGTCTCTAAGTCAGGGATTCCAGCTCTGACCCTAACAGGTTCTTTGACCTTGTACACATGGCTTTCACTTTCTGGGGTTTGGTCTTCTCCTCTGTGAAATGATAAATGAACCCCACAGCACCAACTGGGAATGGCAATTACTGCTACGTCTTAGCTCAGGTCCAGGGCTGTGTGGAAGTGATATGGGAGGGGTGCAGGGAAGTGCTGAGTAGAGAAAGGCAATATCCCTGACAAGGGCTCTACCCTTGGGCCTGAGCCCACGGACCTAGGTGAGGACAGGCACTCCTGTTTCCTTGCCCAAATGTTGCATTTCCCAAGACCACCCTGCCCCCGATCCTGTGCCTATAAAAACCCCAAGACCTTAACGGGCACGTGCACTAACAGCGGGAGGTCGAGAGGAACACACCGGCGGAAGCACATACAAGTGGCTGGACATTGACAGGAACACACTGGCAGAAGAACACATAGACGCTGACAGGCCATCAACAGCAGAATGACGCGGAGAGTGGTCCAAGGAGAGCCTGGCTGCTGCGCGACCCGACTCCAGGGGAAGACCACCTTCCCACTCCATCCCCCTTCTGACTCCCCATCTATTTGCCGAGAGCTACCTCCACCTTTCAATAAAACCTTGCACTCAAATTCTTTAAGCCCACACATGATTCGATTTTTCTGGTGCACTAGGGCAAGAACCTGGGATACAGAAAGCCTTCTGTCCTTGTGATAAGGCAGAGGTCTAACTGAGCTGATGAACACAGGCTGCCTGCAGTTGGCAAAACTGAAAGAGTGCACTGTAACACACGCCCACTGGGGCTTCAGGAGCTGTAAAGACTCAACCCTAGATGCTGCCCTGGGGTCAGAACCCACGGTCCCCATGACCTGCCCATCTGCCTGCTCCCACTAGGGGTTTGAGCAGCAGGACCAAAGAAGTGAACCATACCCGCATCGCATGCCCTTTGAGGGGGACAAGGGAACTTTTCCTGTTTCAGAAGGTTGTGTTGAGAAGGGTGGCGAGGCTAACAGGGCAGGTGTCGGGGGCGGAGGGACAGAACTAGCTGTTGGCAAGTGGTGGGGGAGGTGCTTCATCCTGGTCTTGCATTTGTTCCCTCTGACCCCGGCCTCGAAAAAACAGGACACTCACAGTTCAGAAAACTGCCAAGGGTCTGAGCAGAGGCCTTGCTTGGCCGTGGTGTGGTCCTGCAACTCCAGGGCAGACCTAGACTCCTGGAAAGTCCCTGTTTTGTAAGGAGACTGAAAGAAGATGAGTGGGGAGTGGCCAGAAGAAGAAAGGTGACTCCCAGGGTCTGGGCCAAGGAAAGATTTTGGACAGGAAGGGGGATTCACAACAGGGCATGCTTGGGAGGAATTGTTTAAGGCTTTCAACCCTCGCCAAGGCAAATAACATGAGACAAGACCTGTAACTTACTTTAGCTATATATATATATATATATATATATATATATATATATAGCGCATAACCTGAAAATGCCTCCCCTTGCAGCACTTGCGCTGTTGAACTTACAGTGAGTCCCTCTGTGGAGGGTGGAGTGGGGGAAGGGGTTCTGCTGGGGACAGACAAAGGTAGGGAAGCATTCACTGGCTTTGAAGAATTTCCTCCCTTTTTATGCCTGGGGTGTAACCAGAGACCAGTGTCAACAAGGAATCTGGCTTGGAACGCTTTTGTCTGCAGCCCTCTTTGGAGCGTGACTTGCTCTTTCAGAGGTCAGTGCATTGTAAATTGTGTAATTTCAGGGTCTGCCTATGCAGGGTCAGGAGACTTTTGAGGGAGTTGGTGGGAGAGGCATGGGTGATGTCACTCAGACACCTAGGAAACTCTTGACCTGGTCTATCTCTATGACCAGGTCAGCCACATGAAATCCTTAACGTTCACAAGACAGCAGAAAATATATGTGGTTTTGGGTGTTAACATCTGAATTTGCCGTAGCAAACGGATCTCTGGCAAGTCTCTGAAGTAAAGTAATATCCTAAGTTGAGAGGGGGCAAAAGCAAAACAGTTACTTGGTGTGCTCGATCACACTTTTCTGGTTGTAACTGTGTGTTGTGGCCTATGAAAGACCACACTCTGTGCTCTGGGGAAGGGTAGCAAGCTGGGAGGTCCTAAAGGTTGGGGCTAGGTCTGGATCATTTTCGATCTGCATTTTCTCTCCCCTACACCTTCGGCTTAGCAAAGGATTTGACATTCATGCATGCACTCAGCAAAAATCGATTGAGCATTTATCTTCTTCCAGCCATTGTGTTAAGTCCTGGGGCCATAGACACGTACAGAACAAATCAGCTCTTGCTGTCTCCAGAACTTTCTCTACCGGGCTAGGGGGAGGCAAACAATGAAATTAACATATAATATGTCAGATGGCAAGACATGCTACCAGAAAAATAAAATAAAAATGAAGAGGATACAAGAGATAGACAGGGATGGTATCTATGGGGTCGGGCAATTGGAGCCGAAGTGAGGGAGCAAGCCTGCTGCCAGCTGAAGGAAGCTGTCCAAAGCAGAGGGGGTGTTCTGGAAAGGGTGGAGGGAAAGTGGCAGGAGGTGAGGTCAGAGGGGAATCAGAGGCAGAGACTGTGTAGACCTTGTGGGCCTCATGGGTCACTCTGAGGACTTGAATTTTTCTCTTTATGAGATGGGAAGCCTGTGGAGGGTTTTCAGAAGCAAGACAGGATTATTCTGGCTGCTGTTTTAAACAAATTGAAGAGGGCAAGGGTGGAAGCATGGAAACAGGATACAATAATCTAAGCAAGAGATGATGGTGCCTTAGACTAAGGGTTTACCAGATTCTAAATATTTTGAAGGAAGAGCTGGCAAGATTTTCTGATGGATGGAATTGGAAGGAAAGAACTAAAGATGAGTCAACATCTTCAGTCTGAGCAGCCGGAGGGATGAAGCTGACCTTTACTAAGACAGGGAAAGCTGGTAGAGGAACAGGTTGGGAGGTAGGGGATTCAAAATTTGGTTTTGGAATTGTTAAGCCTGAGATGCCTCACAGAGTGGAGATGTCTAATGGGATGCTGGATACAGGAATCTAGAGTTCAGGAGGGAAGATGGGGCCATAGATACAAACTTGGAAGTGGGCAGTCCATGAAAAATTAAAGCTATGGGTGGGACAAGGTCACCTCAGAAGAGTGTATAGGTAGAAAGAAAAAGCAAAAAAGAAATCAGTGACTGGCCTTGGGTCCTCTAACATTTAGTGGTTTGTGGTATGAGAGGAAACCAGCCAAGGGGATGAGGATAACCAGTGAGACAGGAAGAGGACAGGGAGAGCATGATGTCTTGGGGAACATGGGAAGAAGGTGTTTCAATGAGGGAGTGTCCAATTAGGTCAGATGCTGCTGACAGATCAAGTAGGAAGAAGACTTAAAGTCGGTCACTGCATTTACAACATGGAAGTCATTGGTGAGTTTGTAACAGTGGTATTGGTGGAATTGTGAGGATGAAAGATGAAGTAGTTTCAAAACAGAATAGAAAAAAAATAGGTGGAGATAGTGAATTTGGAAATTCTTTTAAGGAATTTTATATGAAGGGAAGAAATAAATGGAGGCATTTGCTGGAGAGAGAAATGCCCAGTCTCTAAAATGGCTCAATAGCAATGCCAGGAGCTGGTTTTCACACAGTGGGTTGTTCTATTTTGAAGCAGGTAGCTAAGAAGAACCGTAGGAGCCTCGCCTATGACTCTACCATGGGGCTTGCCAAACACTCTACACGGCATCTCTATCTATCACAGATCCCTTTAGCACCCTTGGATCGGCAGATCATATGAGCTGAGGGCACCTTGTGTGGCAGCTTGGATCTTCTCCAGAGCTCTTTGTTCTGAGCCCCACACAAAACTGACAGCCTCTTAAGTCACTCAACACATTGGTAGAAGAAGTATTCCCCAGCACAGCTTATAGTTCTCCAAAATCCAAAGAGGCTCACTAAGCATTGTATCTCTTTCTCAGCCCTAATAAATACAGGCTGTAATAACTTGGTTTTTTTTTTTTTTATGTTTTTGATACAGAGTCTCACTCTGTCGCCCAGGCTTGGAGTGCAGTGGCACGATCTCAGCTCACTGCAACCTCCACCTCCCGGGTTCAAGCGATTCTCCTGCTTCATGCTTCTGAGTAGCTGGGACTACAGGCACACGCCACCATGCCCAGCTAATTTTTTTTCTTTTTGTATATTTAGTGGACATGGGGTTTCACTATGCTGGCCAGGCTGGTCTTGAACTCCTGACCTCGTGATCCAGCTGTCTCGGCCTCCCAAAGTGCTGGGATTACAGGCGTGAGCCACTGAGCCTGGCTAATAACTTGTTCTTTATCTTACAGGGCATATCTCAACATGCCTTAGACCATTGAACTCCTAAACACTTCACTAGTGTGGGAGACATTGCAGGATCCTTGCACAAGAGGGTGCAGCCTGTGGGGTCTGAGAACTGGCTCAGATCTAGAAACTGTGGGTCCATCAACCTTGACGGCTCTTGAGTTTTTAAATTGTTATACAAGTCATGCAGTACCCTCATTGACTGCTCGTCTATCTCACTCGTAGGAACACCATGGTCTATTAGCCATCATCAAAAACTCTGTGGACTGAAGCACTCTGGCCTTGCTGGCTGTTATGGTTTATATTCATCTTGACTCTGATGGTTAAGAGCAGACACCTGGTCTTTGTTATTTTGAAATCCTAGCATCTCCATTGACACTAGGAAGCCCAGTGAAATGGCAGAATCGCCTATTCTTACCCTGGCGTACAGTGGATAATCATTACTAAGTTCCCAAAGATGCTGTCACCCCCACACCAATAGATGTTCTTGCCCCGCACTGATATATTTGAAGGGAATGTCCCTGAACCCTCCCAGGAAGTCTAGGTGTCACATAATAAGTTTGTTCCAACAGTCCTGTCTCCCTGAGCATTCTGATCGCTTCCTCAATTTTCTGCCACGGCACTGCAGCCTCTTCCTATAACTTACTGTAAGGCATCCTCATGTCCAAGCCTCAAGGAACCATTCAGAAACAAATCAATACTACCTCCAAGACAGTTCCTGAGTCAGTAATTCCCTCCCTGTCCTGTTTATCATCCTTCCAAACAGTCCCCGCTGTGCCCCCCAGTTCATGCTGATACCAAGCCAAGCTCTGCAACTCTTTCTGAACATAAGGTGTTTTCTTCTGCATCCAGGTCTGTATTTCTCTACCTGGACTACCCTGAGAGCTAACCTCAGTTATTGGTCTGGAAGCAACGAATGAAGGCCGGGACAGAGCTGGAGGAGGGCCACATCATTTCGTCACAGTCACTGTCAAGAATCTAGTTGCAAGCTGGGTGCTGTGGCTCACGCCTGTAATCTCTGCACTTTGGGAGCTGAGGTGGGTGGATCACTGGAGCCCAGGAGCTCAAGACCAGCCTGGGCAACATGGCGAAAGCCTGTTTCTACAAAAAAAATGCAAAAATTAGCATAGTGTGTTGGTGCATGCCTGTGGTCTCAGCTACTTGGGAGGCTGAGATAGGAGGATTGCTTGGACCTGGGAGGTCAAGGCTGCAGTGAGATGTGATCATGCCACTTCACTCCAGCCTGGGTGACACAGCAAGACCCTGTCTGAGAAAAAAAAAAAATCTAGTTTCACCCAGATCCGAAGAAAAAAACAGAGGCAACATTCAAATTAACATCTGATAGAATATTAACAACTGATAGAATATTTTAGATGAAGTAAGAGAAGCCAAGGCATGTACCCTCAGGCTCTGGGCTTCTCCCTGCAAGGTTGGGAAGAAATTTGGGGGAGACAAAGTGGGAGCAAGTCAGATGGAAGAGACATTATGGGTCGGGTGGGTGAGAGCTGTGGGAGGGAGGTTCAGGGTGCTCCATTTGGCAGGTTTTTCATGGTGGCTGTGCAGTCCAGGGCTCTGATTTCTGTAAGCAGAATGATGTCATTCATTCTTTTATTCATTTATTTATTAAGTCAACATTTATTGAGAGTCTCTTATGCTACTCACTGTGTTAGGTGGTAGGGCTCACAGATGAATAAAATGCTGTTTCCTTGTTTTTCAGAAATTCATAGTGTAGTGGGAGGTGGACAGAAATGCCATTGACTATTGATTGCCTGACACTGACAGGTGCTGAAATAGAGGATTATACAGGATGCCATGGGAGGCCAAATGAAGTGAAAAACCCACTCTTACTGGTGTGTGTGCACACACAGGAGGAGTTATGTAATGCCTCATCTGGTTTCCTGTCCTGGCACATTTCCATTGCTCATTTCTAGAGCCACTTGACCACAATGGCTGGTCAGGGATAATGTAAAGAATCTTCATTTAGCAACTCAGAGGACTGCCCCGTCAACCTTCCCTTCTGTCCTCAGCACGTAGACCTAGTTTCTTACTCTGCTTTTGTGACCCATCTCCTCTTGTACTCTAGACATCTTTTCTATTTTTATACCTGTTGCACCCTCAAAGATCCCTTGAATCTCTCTTGCCTAAACCTTTTTTCTTTTCTTTTTTTTTTTTGTTTGTTTTTTGAGACGGAGTCTTGCTCTGTCACCCAGGCTGGATTGCTCTGTCGCCCAGGCTGGAGTGCAGTGGCGCAATCTTGGCTCACTGCAAGCTCCGCCTCCTGGATTCACGCCATTCTCCTGCCTCAGCCTCCCAAGTAGCTGGGACTACAGGTGCCTGCCACCACACCCGGCTAATTTTTCGTATTTTTTTTAGTAGAGACGGGGTTTCACCGTGTTAGCCAGGATGGTCTCCATCTCCTAACCTCGTGATCCACCCACCTTGGCCTCCCAAAGTGCTGAGATTACAGGCGTGAGCCACTGCACCCGGCCACCTAAACTTCTTTCAGGCAAATCCTACCTCCTTTTCTCTATACATGCTTTGGGAGAAGGGGAAAGTGTCTTAATATATGCACTAATAAGGCCCCTTGATGATCTAATTTCAGCCTTACATTGTTTCGTTTTATAAATGAGCCCCAGCGAAGTTATTTGTCCAAATTTACACAACTAGAAAAGAAAAAAGCAGGACGTTGAATGTAGAGCCAATATTCAGAGTACCTGATTTTAGACCCAGTATTCAAAGCACCGACTGCTATGGTCTGAATGTGTTCCCTCCAAATTCATGTGTTGAAATCCTAACCCCCAAGTTGATGGTATTGGGAGGTGGGACCTTTTCAGATGTGATTGGGTCATGAGTGTGCAGCCCCCATGATTGGGATTAGTGCCCTGTCAAATAGGAGAGACTACAGAGAGCCAGCTAGCTCCTTTTCACCATGTGAGGGCACAGTGAGACAGCCCTGTCCATGGGGAAGTGGCCCTCACCAGACACTCTGCTGGCACCTTGACCTTGGACTTCTCAGCCTCTAGAGCTGTCAGAAATAAATACATTTCTGTTGCTTATAAGTGACAGAGTCTAAGATATTTTGTTAATAGCAACCTGAATGGACTAAGACATTTACCAAAACCTTAAAGGCTCCCAGACGATCACCTCTAAAACACTGTCACAATGTTTTTCTATTCAAAGTCTCCAGGGAGAAAAGAGAAAGAACTACAAAGACTGCCTTGTACTATTATAATCCCTTCACTTTTCCTACCAAAGGTCCTCTTCCCCCTGTGCACCTTGAGGCTCACAAGGCACTTACATCTCTGCCTTGTGAGCCTAGAGGTGCATAGGGGACAGGACCTTTGATAGAAAAAGTGCGTGTGTGTGTACACACAGTCATATATGTATACACACCCACACACATATATTTCTGCTTAGTAGATATCACCAAACGATTTTCCAAAGTGATTGCGCCAGTTTACATTTCCACCAGCAGCATGGGCTGGTGATTATCCTCTTCAACATTTGGTCTTGTCAGTCTTTTGAATTTTAGCCATTCTGGTGAGTTTGTAATAAAATATCATTGAGGCATTAATTACATTTACCTGATTATTAATGAGAATGAGCACCTACTTAAATAAGTATAATATAATAAGTATAATATTTTCCATAGGTTTTTTTGAAGACACTGTCTCTCAGATTAGAGATGTTCAAGGCCATATAGTTTCTTTTTGCACAGCTTTAGCTACATCAAATGAATTTTGATTTGTCATATTTTCATGATTATTCTGTTCAAAATATTTTTGTAACTTCCCATTGTGATTTCCTCTCTGAATCTATAATTTGAGTTAGAAGTATGTTTTGAAATTTCCAAATATATGGCTATTTTGTGAATATGGTTTTGTTATTGATTTCTAGCTCAATTCCCCTGTGGTCAGGTAACACACTCCATGATTTCAGTTCTTGAAATTTGTTGAGACTTGCTTACTGGCCCAGCATTTTGTAATTTTGGTGTATGAGCTAAGTGTGTATTCTGCAGATACTGGGTGCAGTATTCTATGAAGACCAGTTAAGTCAAGTTTACAAATGTATACTCCTGTAAATGTAAACTGATTTTTGTCTTATTATTAGATCTGAGAAAGAGCAATAAAATTGGAATCTATGCTATTAGCTACATGTAAATTTAGAATTGTTGTATCTTCTTGACAAATCTAATTTTTGTCATCATGAGGTCACTTTCTTTGTCTTTAGGAATGCTTTTAACCTTAGTGTCTAGTTTGACATTATTGTTAAATCTTTGAGAATTCTGTTATTTTAGTCTTGTGTTTTGTAAGTAGCATATTAAATTTAGTGTTATTCAGGATAACAAACTTTGTCTTTTAATCACTGAATTTAAATATTTACATGTTATCTAATTTCTGATATTTTGGGGTTTAAATCTACCATTTTGCTCAGCTTTTCAATTTGTACTGCTTGTCCTATATTATTTTTTTCATTTCTTGCTTTCATTTGCATTGATTTAAAATTTTTAAAAGTTACTCAAATCCTATAAATTCTTGTGGCGATTACAGCGAATATTGCAATATGTATATCTGACATAAAAATAAAATATCATTTGGTTCTTTTTTCTCTTCCGGGGAATGTATGTACTGTAAAACACTATCACTCTATTTATGTCTCTCCTGACTAAATGCTTTTTCAGTGTATTATGATTTTCTATATAATTCTCCATAAGATTTTACTTTTGGTTTTATGTAGTCAATATTCATTTATAGTTATCATGCCTTTCTGCATTTCTGACTTTCTACCTGAAACCTTTTCCTTTTGCCGGAAGGCAAATTTATATATATGTAGATATATAAATTCAAGTCTCTTGGGGATGAACTCTCCCAGTTTTGGTTTGTCTGAACATGTCTCTTTTTACTTTCATTCTTGACATACATTTATATCTTGGGAGCAGAATTCAGGGTTGAGAGTAATTTATTTTCAGCACTTTGGAGCTATTGTACCATTGTCTTTTGGCTCAGAATGTTGCTGTTGAGGAATAAACTGTAAGTCTGATTATTGTTCCATTGATGGCAATCTTTTTCTCTGGTTGTGTTGAAGGTATTTCCTTTGTTCATATTTTTGTTTTTAGCAGTTTTACTACAAAGTACACCTAGGTTTTCCCTTATTTAACTAGTTTTCGATTTCCTAAATTCGTCAATTGATGTATTTAATTAGTTTTAGAAATGGTTCAGCTAATTACTCATAAATGATGTTTCTGTTCCATTATCTTTCTCCGTTTAGTACTTGAGCTAAATATATATCAAAACTTTTCATGGAGCTTTTATATCAGTGTCATGATTTGGAAAAAGAGAAGTACAAAATTGAGATTAAATATTCTGAAGCCAACTGGCAGAGTAATTTTGTCTTTTGAATCCAATAAAAATTTGAGCATATATTCAGTGTCTTTTTATTATTTTATTGTTCTAATAATTCATTTAAATTACATTTTACAAAGGTATCATTTTATGACATTTTGTTTTTTTTTTAAGTTTGGGAAGTGTTTTACTAGGTTCTTTAACTTTCTTATAATTTTTTTTTCTTTTTTTTCTTAATTTTGTCTTTTAGCTTTGTAGTCTGGATATTTTCTTCCATACTATAAATTCTCTCTTCATCTATTTGTAATTAAATGTGAAATCTATTGTGTTTTAATTGTTATTATTTTTTAAATTCTAGCATTTTCACTGGCTCTTTTAAAAAAATAATTTTCAGTTCTCTGCCAAAAGTCTCAAGGTTGACTTTTGTCTCTCTGAGCAGATTAAATATAGTATTATTTAAAGTCAATACACACTTTTTTTTAAGTTGAAAAATTCTAATTTCTGAGCCTTTTTGATCTATGTCTGTGTTTTCTTGGTTTTCATTTGTGTGGTTTTGTCTTGTTTGCTGTTTTTTCTTTCTTTCTTTTATTGTATTCAGATATTTGTACTTGAAACATTATTTGTAGTCATAATTAGAGTTCTATAATGATGTTGTCATTCTCCAAAGTGAATTCATATTTACTTCTGCTAGGTACTTGGGGCCTTAGCATTATGAGATCATGTTAATTCAATTCCAGGTACTGTGAAACTGAGTTTCTAGAACCTG